TTAGGGTTTAGAGTTAGTTTTATTAATAAAAGAGTATAAGTGGGTTTTATAAGCTTTAAAAATAAGCAAGAAAGGTTCCCAGTTTCATTTTAATCTGATTTCATTATGATTTGTGACATTAATTTTTTCATTATTGATTAAAAAACTTACGTGTCATTTGTACTAAAAAATTTTTTTACAGTAAATCGTAGAAATCATAGCTTTGTATTATGGCATTCTACTTAGTTTAGGTTTGGAAATCAGTATGTTCATAACCAAAACCCAAATATGTATCCCATTTTGGTAAATAGTGTCAAACTCAAAACTATCAATTTATTAAATAGATATTTAGCATTTAATAGAATAATGATAGAAATCATGCTAATTTATATACAAACCAACTCAACAACACACTAAGTCTCATCTCAATTGTCTATAAGTTTTGTGGTGAGGTTTTGAATTTTTCATATACTGTGCGAGTTGGAAGTAACATAGTAATGGCAGGATCAAGTGTTTTTTGATCATTCTGAATCTCATAATGCAACCAGAATATAATATCAAATACAAAATTTATGCAATTTATCATTGATTGGGTTACAATTATTTGATCGTGAAATTTTTCTGTTACTACTATGTTACCCGCGAGATGGTAAGTTCAATAACAGAATTTTTATAGTAAATTAAGATGAAATCACAATAATTCCAATATTAACTAATCCATTCTTGACAACATTACTATGTATCACTATAGTCAGTAAGTTCTCTACAGATTCTTTATGATAGAAAATTAATGAACACAACCTTAACCACATACTAGCCATAAATTCTGTAGCCGAGTTTTTTATAATTGAAATCTTAAGTTTCTTTACAATAGACGGTAAGTTCTGTAAGGCCACACAAAGTTGATTTTTCGTTTGCATTACATAGTGCTTCAAAATTCCGGTCAATGGGTCAGATATATATATATATATATATATTATCTACTGTAAGTTAATAGACCCATGTTCATATCCAAGTCCATGCAAGTTAATTTTTGTTTTGCATAGCATGGAATCATTGCAATTAATTTTTTTTTTAACAGCCTTATTGGATGATTCCGGGAAATTAAGATCTCTATTGGGCGACAAAAATAGTGTAATTGCCACAATTGGGACTTTAAAAAAAAAATTTCTTTTTGAAAATTGAAAAAATGGGTTATGTAAAAACGAAAATTAACTTTGTGTGGCCTAACAGAATTTTTTTATACGGAAATCACGATAGCTCTAATACAAATCATTGTGTGGATTTATAACTTTGTAGCCTTAAGACTACATTTAATAAATGCATTCTCTCAATTCAGTATTTTCAAAGATCTAGAAAATATTATAACAACAAATTCTTGAATCTATATCATGGCGAATTCATAAAATTAAGCTAAAATTCGGATACGTCAAATCCAAGCATTTGATTCACAAATTTAAATCTTAGTTATCGGGTACAATGAACTTATGAGATATTACGTATAAAAAAGTATAAGCACTTAAACGAAAATATCTCGACCAAATTGAATGAAATTTTTTAATCGAATTCTATAGGTCTATAGGATTCAAATAAAAAAATTTCAATTTGACTGAGGATGTTCTCAAGCACCTCACTCAATGGATCGGAGGCAAATTTTTGATTGAATAAATTAATCAAGTGAGCTGCCATTTTGATGAGCATCTTTTTTCTTCAAAAAAATTTACTATTAAGGTCGCTCAAGCATTACTTTTACACTTTTTTACACAATAAACAATGAATTATCTAAATAAAAATAGTCGCTATTTTTAATGCTTGTTTTTCATTCACTTAAATTTAAAGATATTGGATAGATGTTTTTCTGTATTTAACGGATGATTAAGGTTATAACTTTTTCGTATTACCTATACTACTTTTAGTGCGAAATAGCAACTATAGAATTACTATAGATTGCCTATAAAAAATTTTTTTTTTTAAAAAAATTTACTCCTTGTTTCCGCAAAGCAATTTTCGCTAACGACTCCATACGTTGATTCTGTTGCAACAAAAATTAATTGGTAAACAATTAAAAGGCGAAGCCAGTGAAACTGAAGTTGAAGCTTCGGCAGCTGGTTGAATAAAAAAAAATTTTATTAGGTTTTTAGAGGCATAACAAAATTTTGAAAAATTGAAAGAGTACGCTCAAGCATTTAATTCAATACTATAAATGTCGTCATTGATTGTGATGCTTTAATTAATTGAGATGCTTGAGAACACGGTTTAATATCGGTTTCCATTGAACGAAACCAATTACATAACGTGCCGCAATTAAAGAATAAATTACTTAAATATTATTTTCGCAATGACTAAAAGTTTTTTTTTTAAAATAATTGTTTAGTACTAACATTTTGTTTTTTTGAGTTTTAGCATTTTCAAGTTTTTTTTTAGTAAATAAAATTCGTGTGAACGATTATAGATTTTCGCCAACTTTATCGAATATTACTGTATAAATTTACTGTATCATGTAAAATTTTCAATTGAAATAAACATACCTACTTTAAGTCATACTGCTATACGAAAATCCGAAAAACAAAATAAGTATTAGTTTTTTTTATTTTTGTGAGTGTATAAAAAATTTACTACTGTAATTATTTTGCAATTTAGCAGTAGCAATTATTTTCAACATTACTAATTAGTATACTAGCAGTATTGTATCAGCTACTATGCGATTTCCGAAAGCTATTTTCCTGGAAGAACCGATTAATTATTTCATTTCGGGAAAATGGGGTTTGAGAATTTGAGTTACATTATAGCATTAGTATTAAACCAAATCTATTAATTAGCACTTTCAGTAGCATTTTATTTATTTGTAGTATTGTATAATATAAATAAAAATGAACTCAAAAACATTTCAAATGTTCGTGTCAATTATTTTTTAAACAAAAGTAAAAACCGCGGCCCAGAAATATAGTTAAGGAATTTCGAAATTACAAACTTGTAAATGCCGGCGGATTTGATGCATAACGATGGCGATAACGATAATAGCTGAATCACATTATTAAATATATGCTCGGCAAAATTTTATTCTCGAGAATAAAGTACCAAGTACTTATTTTCGTTAGTGCAGTAGTGTTTTAGATTATTTCGATTTTTTTTTTTTTTACTAGCAGAAAGAATTCTGGAAGTGCAAATAAAATACATCCGCTTAATAAAAATAATTTGGAATTTTTTTTATTGAAGAAAAACGATGTTTTTGATTTTGCGGTTGTGCTAAGGTGGCGTGAAAGACGGGATTTCATACATCCAATCACAACTTGGGGGAGAAATTAGGGCACCCATGACTTTTTTACTGCGGTTGATATTTTCACGGCGGACATAAAATCCGTGAAATATCAACCGTGAGAATATCAGTAAAAAAGGTCATGGTGAGCAATTAGGAGCCGTGTAATAAATATAATAATAATACAAAGACAATTATTTGCTTTTATCGTCAAATATAAAACTAGATTTTCTTTTAAATTGTAGTAATTACTTTAAAATTTTGAGTATTTAAGTTTAGAGCTGTTTATGTTATTTTGCGAGTTGGATTAGATAGAAAATTTTATTATTGTCGGCGGTTTTTCTCGAGTTTATAATTCGTCTTTGTAATAAAAAGCATAATTATTAGTCAACATATGGACTGATTCCATAAATCAGCCCATATTACTATTACAATTTCGTTGACGATTCAACACTTGCCTCATTTGATTACTTTTTTCTGTTTTGACTTGTTTTTTCTTAACTAATAATAAATGAGTGCTATCATCGAATTCGAGAAATCTGAAAGCTAGCTTCAATAATTAATAGGGTCTGATAATGCCTAATTTAGAAGATTTGATAGGTTAAAAATTGCATACTATAATACTTTATTTGAGCGACGCAGAAGAAAACCCGAAATAAGAATCGATTAGTTCTTTTTGTCTTAATAAATCCAATAGGGTTGTCGAAGTGACTAGGACGGGACAGTCTACTGACATGCCTTATTCTTCCTAACAGCATAGCAAAAGCCTAGGGACAGTGCAATCTCACATGATTGAGTCCGTAGAAGTTGTAAAGTTCAAATGTGAAAATTCATGATTTTGATTGGCCGTATGCAGTAGAAACTTTCGTGATGTACCTGGCTTTAAGTGGCCCATTTCCAGAAAATTTGGATTTGCTTCCCCGCTGTCTCATGCGTTACACGAGATTGATCGATGACTTCAAATTGCAATTATCAAAAAGTATAAATAATTGTTTTAACGTTAATGATATTATGTTAGCTAACTTCGCTCAATTTTAAACAGTTGATGTAATTCCTGATGATGTTTCTTCTTATAAGACTCAAGAATATTGGAATCAACGTTATTCCAAGTAAACAAGCAATTTTTTAAATGATTTTTTGTTTTCATTTAATCCATTAATACTTCTTTTTTTGATATCTTTTATAGAGAATCATCAAACACTACTTTCGATTGGTTTAAAACGTATAAAGATTTAAAGCCTTTATTTGATGAACAGTTACAAAATAAAGATGCTTCAATTTTGATGTTAGGTTGTGGAAATTCGAGTTCGTACTTTTGGATTTACTTTTCCAATAAAAAAGATTTCAATTATATGACCTTATGTTTTTAATGTTATGATATTAAATTAGCACTATCTGAGGATATGTATGATGCAGGATATCATAATATAACAAATGTTGATTTTTCAGAAATTGTGATTGAGAACATGCGAAATCGATGCATTGATAAGGTTGGAATGTCGTGTAAGTAACGTTATATATGCCATTTTCTATAATTTTTTTATTTATAATGTGAAATTATTATCATAACCATTATTAGGGTTAGTAATGGATATTCGAGATCTAAAATTTCCAGATGAGATGTTTGATGTAATTATTGATAAAGGTAGACGGCTTCTTTTTTTTTTTTTAAAAAAAAAAAAAGCTTTATATACAAATTTTACATATTTCTTATAATCTATTACATGATAATCAGGTACGATGGACGCATTGATGAGTGATGAAGGTGATGTATGGGATCCAAAACCAGAAACTGTCGAGAATGTTAAGAGGGGAGTTGACCAAGTTGTGAGGTAACTGCATGTTTTCACAATAAGTTTAAAATAAACTCGCTATTTATTAGTATTTTAATAGGAATCAAGAGATTAATGTGTATCATCCTTTTTTTTTAATTAGAGTGTTGAAAGTCGGCGGAAAGGTATTTATTTGCTATTTTATAATCCAAGGCATTCTGTTCAAAATTTAATTTTTAGGTGTCTTGTGAGGTTAACATTCAATAGTTCATTTATATAACATTTAGCCAACCACATTTCCGCCGCAAATATTTAGAAAGATCGTGCTGGGACATTAACTTCAAAAAATTGGGTAAACTACAATAATTGTTTGAATTCAATTGAAGTTATTTCCTAACCATCACTAACATATATAATTATTCATCTTAAACACAAGGCGACTCATTCCATTATTTTTTTTATTTCATGAAAAAAAAGTTGCTTAAAGGTATACTTATTTTATATTGTTATATTTGTTAAATATGGTTTTTATTTTATGATTTGTTATATTATATTATTTAATAACAAATTTTACATTTAATATTGTAAGTATAAAGCAAAAATTACATCCGAAATTTACGGCATAATACTTTCACCTGAATTCAAACTACAAACGTGAATTTTGAATTTCCAAATGCAATATTGAAATAATGAAAAATTATTGAACTTTTGAGAAATAGTGTTTATATGTGAAATAACTATTAAAACTTTAATGCGATTAATGCATATAGAATTAAAGAGCTATTCTTAATAAGGTCATAGGAAGTTAATTTCATGATTTTTTTCTAAAATAGCTTCTTTTAATAGAATCTTAAGAACTTGAAACTTTACTTTGTGCCTTGATAATGCTATGACGGCAGTGAATATCTGACGCTTTCATTGCTTACAAGAGGAGGAATAAAAAAATTGCGTTTAAATTTTTTGTATCGTGTGAACAACTTAATGTAAAAATATCCAATCCATTTTTAAAAAAAAATAATAATAAATAAATAGATTAGACCAGTTCGGGCAGTCTGTTAACATCCCTACTTTATATCTTTTAGTTTTATGAAACCAGTACTGTCTCCCTTGTACCTTCAATACGATTCGATATTTTTAAAAGGCACCAAGTCCTGATCCATTATTCAAGAAAGGAAATTGATACTTAATTTATTGGGCTCCTTAACGTATTTGCGCGTAATAACGCGCATCTGCGCGTTATTTTGAGACGCGGTAATTTTGACAAATTTGTGTTACAAGAGGAAGCCCTACTTTTATTAATGGACTTAATCTGAAATTCGATCAAAATATGTAATATGGTATATTTTAGGTGGCGCGTTATTTTGGGTCGCGCATGGGCGTTATTTTGAGTTAAACACAATTTTCAAAAAAAAAGGGAATTTCGAAATAACGCACATGTGCGCAAATACAGTAATAACATAATTATTTCAAGACACATATCCATGGCTTTAACTCTTGATATTGAGATCATATCTCTAGTAAATTTAAAACACAAATTAATAAGCCCAATTTGTTTTATAAAAATTGTATAAGTAAGGCTTACTTTCAAATAATTATTAGTTAACTTTGTAAATCATTTGTAAAAGATAGTTTGAACTAAACTATTTCTATATAGATAAAAGTTCTTGAGAAATTGACCATATTGACTTCCAATTAAACTTCGAAGATTTTGTAGAGATTTTGTATAAATGAAATGCACAATGTATTTGGTATGTTGTTGAGAATATTTTCTTTATTGCAGCATCAACTGCAGAATCTAAATCCATTATAACTACTGTTGGCTAAATATTAGTAAGCTTGAGAATTTGTTTAAAAAGCCAAATATGGGAGTTCTCACTTTTATCCACAATTAGCCTTTGTGCAAGAAGAATATTTTGCTTATTACTATCAAATCCTACAAACAATAACAAGAATATCTTATATTTATTTATTTTATATATAACGTTATTAATAACACAGTTGCTAAAAAAATATAGAATAAAATACACAAATTGAGGTATTAATATAGAAAAATAGTTATTAGTTAAGCAAAGACTAATTTTTAATTTTAAAATAAACATTATATACAAATTCAGATTATTAATTGAAGGTTATAATGTTATTGCTAATAACTATAAAGTTTACAAAATAAAATCATAAATACTTATCATTATATCTAAATTATTTTATTATTATTAATATAGTTAGTAATTATTAATAATAAAAATTTTGTTTATAAATTTATTGGCTAGAATGAGTTATATATTAAGGTTTATATAATGTATAACATATCTTCTAACAAAGTTTTTTTGCTGAAATTCAATTAGTTAAAAAGAAGTTTGTAGAATTCACTATATTAATTATATAAAATACTAAAATGTATTAGTTAAATAAATAGCTAAATTACTATATTTATATAATTTATATAATGACCGATTTTTAATAAAAATCATCCAGGCTAGTACTTAGTAAACTTCTTATTATTTATTACTTATTTATTTTATTTTATTTATTATTATTATTATTTAACTATTAAGTAATTATATTAGAAAAATATTAAGATAAAATAATGTATAGAAATTATTGTGTTAGATAGTGTATTAAAAAAAGCTATATGGCAAAATAATTAGGCATGTGTGTCAAAAAAGTGGTGGTGCAGGAGAGTGGTGATATCAGGAAAAGTGATATCAGGGAAAAGGTTGTTGTTAAAAAAATGGTAGTTGTGAAGAAGGAATAGTTGTTGGATAGAAACAATATAGTTGTTAGGGAAAATAAAACCTGATACCATTAAAGAAGAAACTTACAATAAATGGTTAAAAATAATAATCAAAGCACATAGACTTGATTTAGATTATTATGTAGTAAAAAATCCATCACAAAAACATCTTAATGATGGCTTTAGTTTTGAAAATGCTAGGCAAGATGAAATAATGTATGTTTATATATATTAATAAATTGTAAAATTTACGTACTATTAATTCAGTAATTTTAATAACTAAATATATATTATTCTTATATATTAAATGATTGTAATAGTTTTTTGAACAAAGAATTTTGGATTATGAGAAAGAATCGGTGTGATGAAATTAGTAATAAAAATATTCTGAGCCATTGGGTATTAGGTACACAGGGTATTTTTACTAAATACCCCATGATCTTGATATAGTTATTTAGACTAAAATAGTCCGATTTGCTTATTTGTTAGAAAGAGATTGAAACCAAGTTGTCTGAGGTATTTGTAACAATCTTGTTCACTAATTTATCATTATTTAATTTAAAATTTAAATATTCTTTATCTGATATAACTAGACGCGTCAAGAACTGGAGAAAATTCCTGAACAATTAAGTGATAATTCAAGAATTGAAATTTATAGAATGGGCAAAAAATGTTTTACAATTATTAAGTAAAAACTATGTGTTCAAAAATCAAGTAGATTTATGGCAATTATTATTAACAAATAATTTGAATTCTTCATAAAAGAGCTAAACACTTCGAGGTCAATATTTACTGTTGGTAATAATGAAACGAAAAATGATTTATTATATGAGTTATTAAGACAAAAGTCATTAAAAAAAATTATTCCAAATCAAATATTTGTAATAATAATATCTTGGATCGTTGGGTATTTGTGAATTGATCCCAGGCAGTGATAACGGAAATACATAACTGATACTGATCGGCCACGTAAGCGGCTGATTAGTATCAGTCATGTATTTCTGTTATCACTGCCTGGGATCAATTCACAAATATCCAGTGATCCAAGATATTATTACTTAATACCCTGACCTCTTACATAATAAAATACGTAATTAGCTCATATGTAATTAAGCCTTGATATAAAATGATATTAAATCAAAATACAATTGTACCAAAAAAAAAATAATAAAATACATAATTAGCTCATACGTAATTAAGCTTTGATATAAAACTAATTAGTAATCAAAATATAATCGTACCAAAAAAAAATAGTAAAATACGTAATTAGCTTATATGTAATTTAGTTTTGATATAAAATTAATTAGTAATCAAAATATTTTTCTTCCTTTCGAAATAAATAATTGCACCAAAAAAAAAATAATAATAATAAAAAATAAAGTAAAATAAAATAAAATGAAACATTCTTTTATAAAAGCTAGTGATTTCTATTCTACTTACAGTGATTTATCCAACACTTATAAAAAATTTGAAAAGCTATCAAAAGAAAGACTCCAATTATATAAAAAAAAAGCCACACCTCAAAATATCCAAAAATGATGCTGGTGTGGATGTACAAGCTGCTATGGATATCACAAAGCATCATACAGTAGAGGCATATAATATGTACTGCACACAAAATGAACAACAATGGGTCAACATTACAAAACTTGTAGTACTACCTGGTATACAAAAGGTACAGTCATCAGCAAAAGTAACGCCTGATAAATTTATGAAATTAATTGATAAAAGTCACTACATATAAAACTTTTTTTCTTATTAAGTGAACTAGATTTAGTATTTTAGGTAAAGATTTTACAAGATATAATATAATAATAACCAGAATTTGGTACGATTTAATGAAAATTTTATTAATCAACTTAGCCATTTGAAAATTAGCAAAAAACTTATAAATTTTAATAAAAATTATAAATTTAGTTGTAGAATAAAATATTTTATCGTTCTTTCTGAATTTTATATATATTATAGCCCGTGATGGTATCTATGCTTTTACTAAATAAAATTGTATATATTCTTATTAAAAATAAAAAGTTTACTTAGTCACGAATGAAAAATTTTAAAGTTTTGATTCAATACACAAAACAAAATATTTGTTCTAATTAGTATAAAATTTTTTTTTATAATTAGTTAGCCTGATATATATTCTCAAACTTTAATTAGAAGTCCAAAGTTATCAGAGTGCTCTACGAGGTACTTATCTTAGGGGTGATTCTTTGCAACGATGTATAAAATTTTAATATAAAGCACATGTGACTCAACGATTACATTCCGAATTTAAAGAAAAAAAAAATTTATTTCGGACTTTATCACGGTCCTAATTTTAATATGAAAAATAGCTGTAAAATAAGGGCCCTAAGCTAAATATCTTGTAGAGCATTCTGATAACTTTGAATTTATATGTAAGTTTGAGATATATATAAGGCTATGTATCTAAATATAAAAAAAAATTTATACTAATTATATAATAAATATTCTGTAACTTTCATTGGAAATTTTATCGGGCGTTACTTTTGCTGATGACTGTACAATACGTATATTATATTTATTTTTATTTTTATTTATTATATACTACTAATTTAAAAAAAAATTTATATTTACAAGAATGATAATGAAACCGAAAAAAACAATAAAGGTGATGGAATTGACTGTGAAAATGAAAGTAACAACGAATCCAACGATGAAAATATCGATAAGAATTATGACAAAAGCAAAAAAGACCGGGCCAACTCAATTACCCGGTCTCGATCTCGATCTCCACTTACTCCTTTATCTATTCCGCAAGATGATGCTGCTCAAGGATTTCAATCTAAGGGTTTAAATTTTAACTTTACTAATTGTAAAGTTAAAATTTTTCTTAACCGTTGAATAGTTATTTTTTAAAAAATTGTATAAGTATTGATGTAAATCTGCTGTAATAACTCTGCCCGGGTTGTTATTAAAGGGTAATATCCCGGCTATGCTAAAATACCTCCCAGTTATATGTGTATACATAATAAAAAAATTGGGGTATTTTTATTACTAATTTACTGAGTAAATAACATACTAACTAGTTGTAAATTTCCTCCTGGCAAAAATCATGTGAGAGAGTTGAGCCAGGGTATTAATAGTACTAATACTACCGACCATCTGTCACGCATTAAATTTACGGGAAAGTTCAATGATACGAATTTACAAAGAAAAGATTCAAACTTCCCGTGGAAGATTACACTCGGATTTATTCCGTCTTCTGTTGCAGAATCCTTGATAAAGGAAACAAATTTGAATTGGAAAACACCAGAAATTAACTGTTTAAATATCATTCATCTAATTGTTCTAAATTTGGTTAATGAAAACATTTTCAAGATTCCCTAATCTAATCGGTATAGATTAATTATTTAGTTTTTAAATAATCTTAACCCGATTTTTCTCTTGCCTAAAAATTAATATATTCTATATTATATAAATATATAATGTATATTGCTAATTCATGGTTAGATAAATGTAAGAATTTAACCATGAAATATATCAACTTCTTATATCAAATGCAATCATCCGATCCATTTACACTCAACGAACGGTCGATAACTTCTCAAAAATTGATATATCTAAGTGCTTTTAATGAAATCCTACAACATGAAATGAAAATCAAGAACCTACAAGCACTTTAGAAATTATGGCATTAATAATGGCTTATTTTAAAATCGATATGTAGAAGTTATAGCTATGACTATTATTCATGCATTCATCGATGAATTTGCTAAATATATTGCATTCCTGATGGGAAATATTCGTTAGACGAATTGATTAAGGAGGATGATTCTATTAAGCGTCCTTCGTGATTATTTGGTTAATCGTGAGAAAAGATTTGGAAGAAATTTTTGATAGTCTTATCGAATTTGGTATCTAAACGATAAGTTTTTGAAAATTCTACAATTTATTATAATATTTTTATGGAACATTTACTTCTTTTTAAATATAATAAATATATAGTGGATTTTGAAATTTGTAAACATTTTTAAAATGTTTTAAGTGAAAATAATTTATCATAAAACGATAACTCGGTATGGCCCGAACTCTAAGCTTAGTTGGGTCACGAACCGAAATAACGTCCAGGGGCGTTGTTTCGCGTTTATACCGGTATTTTACCATACAATTAATTTCTAACGCTAACAATTGTTACTGTAACATTGATATATAATCTCTTATTAATCAATTAAACGAAGAAACCTTATCGTTACGTATTAGCTTTGTAAAGTTTTCATTAAAATTTATAAACAAAATGCAAATTAAAAAAAAATTGAAAGTTGCGAATAATACATAGCTTTAATAGTATTAACTATAAAAAATTAGACCTTGTTATTTATAATATATATTTTATAGCAAAACCAAATTTTTAACATTTTTACTTTGAATCAGTATTCTGCTATCTCTCGCATCTGAATAGTACTAGCGATATCGATGAAAATTTATTACCGTGACTGATGTACTGTACGTATTTGAGTATTTATAAAAACTTGAGATGTGTGGCGGTGTATATTTTTCACTCAACTTTGCTAAAGCATAAAGATACTATTCTTCGAGATATAATGTGTACAGCATTTTTTTCAGGGTGAATTAATTGTCAGGCTTCTGGATAATAGTTAAAAGTATCATATTCAGATACAACGACAAATCAATTTTTTAATCCTTAAATTGCCCGGTACAAAATATAGAGGGATTTTACTAGTCAACACTTTACGGTATTTTTGTTATGCAAACATTTAGATACAGCGGCTGGGAACGCACCACCTTGAATAGTAACGTGCCTAACATTTTAATTATTAATTATTAAATTATTATTAATAAATCAATTTAATAATTTTCATAATTATTAAATTAATTAAATTTTTGATAAGAGAAGTTATAGCCTGCATATTTGAATAGACGACACCTCCTTTCAATTTTCCTTAAATACTTTAAATGCCGTTACTTTTTCTTGTTGAAAAAAAATTCCCATTGTTTATTAAAAGCAGACGCACATTTTTCTGATTTTTAATGAATTTCAAGTACAATAACTTCAGCGAGATGTTAGGAGGTGCACACATACAATGAGAAATCAATACCAGTATATATGATTCACGTTTCTCCTTCTTCATGACTTTTGCTCGCCAACCGACCAACATTCTTTCTTTTACATCAACTACCACAAATTCAATTTAATCCGTTTAAACCTTTTCCAAGAACTCAAAAAATATTCAATCTTTTTAAACGTAAACGCCATGCCACGTCGACCCACATATGAAAAGATGATTGAAGATGCAATCCTTACTTTAAATGAACGTAGAGGAAGTAGTCGTCAAGCAATAAAAAAATATCTATTTGAAACATATGAACTTACAGATATTCCTGCTACTTATACCAGAATTAACACGGCTATCAGAAAAGGCGTTGCAAATGGAAAATTTAAATATTCAAAAGGTCCTAGTAGTAAAATTGGATTGGTCAAAAAACCCAAACGTGCGAAAAAGGAAACTGAAATGGAAGAAGTCAAAACTACTACTAGATCAATGAGATCTCGATCATCAATGACAGCGTCGACGGATAACGATGATAATAACAATAATAATATTATTAATGATAATAATGATATTAATGATATTAATGATAATAATAACGACGATAATGATGATGATGACGTTAATGATAATGATGATAAATATAACGATAAAGCTAACGATAAAGCTAACGATAAAGCTAACGGCAATAATAATAATAAATCACGATCTAGTGTTAGCGTTAGTCCACATCAAAGTGATCGTGACTAAAAAGGGCAATGACATTTTATGATGGGAAAGGAATTGTAATTGAATTTTTGTCTTTTTATGTAATATCATTATTATTTCATTTCATTCATTCATTCATTCATTCGTTCGTTCGTTCATTCATTCTTAAGATTAAAATAAAAATTTTCATATCAGCTTTAGAAAACTGATTATTGTTATATTGTTGTCATGATAAATATCGTTAACATATATAATAATATAATAAATATAATATATATAACGAAATAAATGAATTTTTAATTTTATTGTGAAAAAACTTAAAAATTCCAAATTATCTGGAATTTTCAATTTGTATACGTGTATCGATATTGCTAAATTTAAATTCATTTTCATATCTGACATTGTACATACACGTATGTACATCTAAAAAACAAATCTTGAAATTGAAATATATATTCTTAAAAATAAGTAATTATAATTTATACGGATCTCATCTGATTATCCTCGAGACCAAATTGAGTAAATAAATTAAAATTTTCTATAATTAGTTTTTTTTTTTTTTTTTTATGCTGAATAGCTAAAATAATCCTTTCCGAACATCAATCCAACAAAATCATATATAATTACCAATATTATAAGTGAACAACTGATAAATAAAGAAACCCAAGCAACCCAAATACCAAACCATTCCATAGTACCTTTAGGAAAAAAAGCTCTAAACTGTTTGGCACGTTTGACATGAGTTATTTCTTCTACACCATGCCATTTTTCTTCATAAATAAAATAGATTAGAAATCATAAATGAAAAACGAATCATTATCAGAAATTTATTAAAATATACTATTTAATAAATACCTTTTTCTTGTTTTCTTCTACTAAGGATATACATCCAGAACGGAATTATAAAATTTGCGGAACTTATAAAAAACAAACTCGTCCAATTGGTAAATACATTTAACCAATAACCGGACTGAAAAGGGATAACTAGAATCCACGGAAATATCGTAGAGAAAATTGCAAGATTCTCTATTAAAAATGAATATATTGATATATATGCATATATATATTAATAATATAAATAAGGAAAATCATTAATTCATAATATCGATATATCTAACGTTAATTGATTTTAATAAAAATTGATGCACTGCCTCCACAAAATCCTGTTCGAACCAGATTATAACGTATAACAATAACGTTTATTGGTACGCTAATAAGTAATATAAATGGAAATAAGTAAGTAGAAAATCCAAGTATATTGTTCCTTAATTCTGATTGTCGGATAGAGGATATTATGTTTGTTGATAAATCTAAATCGAATGCCATTGCACCAAGGATTCCCAAGGAAATATAACCAAATGTAGAAATCGCTACAGAGGTATAGACAATTTTTCGAATAGATCCATCTTCTTCCTATATGATTATAAAATTAATAAATTTTGTTACATGTATATATCAAATATTTAAAAAACTTGTCGAACCAATTCATTAGCAAGACTTGGAACAGTAACTATAAAAGCATAGTTAAACAGTATGATTCCCACTGCTTGACTTTGATTTTCTCCAATAATGGGAATTCGCTTTGGTTCCAATCCATGTAATACAAGTGCCACAATCCATGCGAAAATGACGAATATTATTGTCAAAAATGATGCTGTAAATAATTATATAAAAATTTACACATAATAAAAGAAGATATTTTATTTGAAAATTTAATATCTTTAATACTTTACCAATTTGTATTTTGGCATTATTGGATAACCTCATCCATGTCATTGGAACAACAACCAACAATGTTGTCTAATAAATAATTTATATATTAGCATATACAAATATATTATAAAATATCTTTTAAATAATATTACCATAAATCCAGCGGTTAAAAACATCCATCGCTCTCCAAATGGGCTGGCCTCATCACCTAATTCTCTAATACATAACCATCCAGAATCCGGATATATACCAACTCCACAAGTAACACCAAATAGTGTAATATATAAACTGTCCAAAGATTGTGCTGAAAGGATAATCGAAGCAATTATAAATGATTCAATTGCCAAATACACTATTATTTGGATAAATGCACGTTTATATTTATCTGTTATCAGGGTCGCACAAAGATTGGAATATTCTATTCTTTCCTGACATAATAAATTATAAATTAAGAGATTAAGGTACTAAATCTTACACTGGTCAATATTGAAATTGGAATACGAACCGTGAATTTTTCGTTATCGGGCAAAGATCCAATTGCTTCACATAATAATAAAGCAGCAGATGACGATAAAAATACAACCAGAATTATGATTATCATAGATCTTAAAAAAAATAAAAAAATAAACACATATAATATTAATTTATTATTATTATTATTATTTATATTTTGAATTGAACTTACGTTATCCATCCTGAAGTTTGAAATAATAAGGGCACTATATATCAAAGTTTTTACATAGTATTGATATGTGTTTTAATAAAAGGTTCAAAAATGTACATATTTACATGATATATAATTCTGTATATAAACTTACCTGTCACCAACCCTGGCCCTGTCATCGAAGAAACCAGTAACGAAACACCGCTAAGGTATCCAATTTTGGATGGTCTTTCCATTTCCTTTTTTTTTATAATAGAAATTTTTAACCTGGCGAAACTTTTGTTTGATCCAATTATATTTGGAGCAATTCACGAAAAATACAACTATTTTAGCATTTATTTATATAATATTAAATTATTAAGTATTAAATATCTTCGTTAATTTTTATAATATTAAACTTATTTTTTTAGCGTTAATTAAAATAATCCTTTTCGTTTTACGAATCAATCATCTATTTTATAAATCTAAAAAAAAATATCATCTATTTTATATGTGTATGACATATGTGTATGACAATTGATTTTATTTTTCGTTTTTGATCATGGCTTTTCTTGCTGGCTCTTATAATAGAAATGCCCTGCAAATATTTAGATTTATTTAACTTAGCCTCCTAAAATTCTTTGGAAATGTGTTTAAAAATTGAACTATATCGATATAGCATGTAAAGACTCAAATTTTTAATTTGAATTAACTTTATTATACTTTAAGATCAGCGAGAAATGATTTTATTAATAATATCATCCCACTAGTTTAATATAAAAAGATAAAGTGTGATGGTTTCCTCTTTCACTTTATCATTATTTATTGACTGCTCGTGAAACAGTTATGTTTTGATATTGGTCGCTCGTGAACGGCTATGTCTGGTTACAGATGGCTAGGTTTTGTGGCTATGAAGATTTATGAAAACAGAAATGACACTGTGACACCAAACTTCGTAAAATATTAGGATATGGACTATAAAACGCATGTTATTTCAATTCTTTAAAAAAAAAAAAACAACTTTTTATTGGTGAATTAGATTAGGTCTTCTGAACTATATCAGCAAGCCACGCGAGCTAATAACAAATCTTGAGTCTCAGTTATGATGATTGACTCAGGTCGTAGCTGACGAAATAATACATTTCAGATGTTTGTCTTTGCAAAGCTGCTCTAACCCTAGTTCTAATTTTAGTCAGTTAATCGATTTGAATCACAACATTCAGTCTTTATAGTCTTTATCTAAATAACCATCTCAATTTATAAATTGAGATGGTTATATTAATAAAAGAATAAAGATTTAAAAATCTTTATTCTTTTATTAATATAATTACGTGTGGAATAGACATTGTAATTAGGAGACAATTATCCAAAATTATGATATCCGTCACACACACGTAATTGATGCAATTTTATTGGTCATTACACGCGTTCGAGCAGGTGGTCATGTTTGAAGCGTAATTGATTTAAAAGTCGAGTTTCACATATTATCATGACCAAATTTCACCTCGATAGGCAAGGAATTATTATTATTATTTCCTTGATATAGAAATTGTACTGAAGCGTGAGAATACAGTATCTTCTAAGGCTCGAACAAACGGAACTAAAACAATACTATAATTATAATTGTAAAGATAATTTACTTAGGAGCTGACCATCTATAGATGTAGTCAGTTACAAATAAAGAACATTGGCGTAAAAGCGACAGAATACATATTTATTATACTGAGATCCTCGCACTACATACTCAGACGAACAAAAATAGAATAGAGATTTTAATTGAGAATTGCTACAAAAATAAAAATAAAAATAAAATTCAACCGGCTAATCACAATGAAAATTTTACCAAATATGAGATTATGCATACATAATTACTGTGAATGATTAAAAGTGGGCCCAAACTAGGCCAATTTAATTTTTTAAAAATTCATCGTGTGAAAATGAGTGATGTACGAACGTACTGGGAAAACTTATAAGTATTAAGGTAGCTGCGCGACGTAGTCGCGCTAAAACCAGAAAAGTATTTATAGAAAAACTCGTATTAAAAATGATCTTAACATGTTAGACATCGCTTGTGTAGTAAATGACATGGCTTTAGTCTGACCTAGCAAATTAATACATCAGCTAAGCGGCTAGCTAATGGTCTGCTTTATGGAATTTTTTTGGACATCTTGCAAGATTTTAAATTGATTTTGTATTTTAATTTTGTTCATTTTTCTCTTCTGGATTTAAAGGCCTTTTGTACTATGGGTTTTAAGCCTTAATTATTATTATAGATTTTGAATTAGCCAGCCAAACAATATAAATCCAGTCCATATTTGATCAGACAAATCCAAGCTTAGTACCATGTACTTGATTTTTATTTTTACTTAAATATTTGTTATATTAGTTCCCGTATCATTGGTTTTTTGATCTGGACTGAATATTTTGCCAGATTTATTTTATGCAGATCTGGATTTTTAACCAAACCTGCATAAAAGTTTATATTGGTATGGATGCTCCGTAAATAGCCCAGCTCATGCAAAACTTTAATTAGAGGATTAATTTATAATAATTTTTATAGTGGGAGTGCTAGTCATACTATATGATGAGTAATTGAATATAACTGACATATCGGCCGCATAGCGGCTGATACATCTGTTATACTTTCCAACCAAGTTAAACAACTACCTAAAAAAATTTCAGACTGCATAATTTCTATATGCAAAATCTATGGACAGTGCAATCGCATGATATACCCTAACTGCTAACCAACCAACCACAACTCAATCACATAATTGACACTTTCTTTAAACAATGAATAGATTTCCCAATTCAATTATTCAAAAAATTAATTATACTTCGCTTTTACTATTTTTATGAAAGTTTTAAAATCAACAAATTTTTTTGAATGGTCACTAACAATCCGAAATAGTGGTACGGGTTGATGAAAAAATCATGGGCCAAGTTCGATCCTAAAAAAGCTCGGGCTGGTTGACCAGGCTGAACTTTTTTGCTAATATAAATTTTTCTAATAAAAATTAGTCTTGATATTTATATCAAATGTGTAAAAACATTAGGTAGTTTCTTACCAAATTATAGTATACTAAAAATCATTTAGTTTATATTCTTTTTGTATTTAATTATAATGCATTATATTTTATATTGATTAATTGTCTATGCACCCAAACATGTCAGGCATTTCTATTTCTTATATATATTAGATATTTGCTAATTTATCACCTAAATTAGCCAACTAATCTACTTTGCATTGGAGTTATCATGATTTCTAAGTCATTAAGGTTGAGTTAGTTTGCATCAGGATGCATCAGAATTATCTAATTTCTATACAGAGCTTACTCGCCATTCTGACAACCACAATATATGTGGTTAAGTTAGTTTGCATAAGAATTATTTTAATTTCTGTGCAGTTAAGGTTTA